AAAATCTTATATTTAGGTAAAATATTATAGCTAGCAAGTAAAACTTATATTTAGATAAGAAAATCAGTGTCTAAATTAAATATCTTACATATAAGTACTAAAACTACTTATATTTAAAGAATAAATGTTGCAAGAGATCTTTGTACGTTTTTATAGCATCAAATCATGACATTAACTGTGTTCATTAATTAACCTCAAATTGAACATAACGAATAGAAATATCAAAATAACAAAATTTCATCAATGTACGGATGAATAATCTTGTACTTCTCAAAATGCTTATATTGAGCTCCAGTCAAACTAGCTGGTTAAAATATGTTGATCTCATGAGAAAATTATATGGACAAGACAATCCATAACTATATATATGATCATCTTACATCTAAAAAACTTTAATGCATATCTCATAAAATTAATGAGATATAATTAGCATATCTCCAGATTATAATATTCAAATAAAAAATTTCATTTCCATCACCATAAGAAAATCTTTAATAAAACTCTTCATCATTATATAATTGTAAAACTAACTAATGATAACAAAAATTTTATGTGATTGATGAAAAATTATTGTGTGTGGAATTCGAATGCATTTGGAGATTATCTAAAAGAGTGAAATTGAGATATTTGCACCCTGTCGAAATAAGGAACCATGACATATATGTTTGAAACAGATTTCATTTTGAGAGATTTGAAATCTGAATAGGCCATGTCAGTGAATTTATTGGGCCTCCGTGACGTCGCATGTCAGAATTCACCTCAGAACTGCACAAAATAATTTCTGGTGATGGTGGCGCGTAGCTCCGTGTGGGAAACTAGATCTTGTCAATATTCTCATCCTCGAAGTCGATGTAGTCGTCTCCGGCTCCTTCGTCCTCATCGTCTACGCCACCAGCGATGCCCTCGTTGAGGCGAGTGGTTTCTGGGAGCTCGCCATAGGCTTTGAGAAGGCGGGCCTCGTCAGGCATGTATTTGAAGATGACATCAGCCTTGTCGTTTTGGAAATCGCGGAGACCGACGAGAACTATATCACCGGCGGCAATCCAAACCTTCTTGTGCATCTTGCCGCGGGTGTGACAGAGGCGCTTGGTTCCGTCGATGCACATGGCCTCGCAACGGCCATTTCCGAGCATGCGGAGGACCTTGTTAAGGAACCGGTTCACCTATTACAATAAACCGGTTACATTGTACTTTCTTGGCATGTATTGTTTCTATATATAGCTTTGTAATACTGTTCTCTACATGAATGAAATTACTTTCCTTTTTCGTCATTCCTCTCTCTATCTTTCTCTGGCTTTCACCGGCTCTCGTTTTCTATCATGGTATCAGAGCGTCCAGCTTCACAGCCGCGATTCTTTTCTCGCTGATCCTTTCTTCTTCCGTCATCGTTCCTCTGTTCGAATTCAATGGCCGAAGCTAGCTCTGCTATCTCTCGCAGAACAGGTTGATCAGATCAAGAAACTGAACTTGTAATCCCTCCTCACCTCAAGTTCTTGATCTCAAATATCAAGAATCTCGTTCCCACCCAACTCACTACCGAAAATTATGCAATCTGGAGATTACAGCTCTATCAGCATTTTTCCGCAAATCGGTATGATCAACATCTTACCGGAGCCGCTATCTGCCCTCCGGAAACTGAGACGGATGAGTATAATCGGTGGAAACTAGTCGATCGAAATCTCATTTCCGCGATCTTGTCAACTATCTCTGCACCGATCTTGCCGTATGTACTCACCCTCCACACGGCACAAGAAATCTGGACCACGCTTGAACGTCGACTTCAACCTACAAATCGGTCGCGGGTGA